CACAATGGTTATCATTTTTCATTTGAAAAATATCACATCTGCTGAGTAGTGCTATACATTTTGTTTTGCATGCATTTAGTATGCTGCATATTGTATATTGAATACATTTTAATGCATCAGAACCTCTCTCATGAATCATGTATTTTGAAAGACACCTACATCCAATAGCATTTAATTTCTATATTAAAAGTTGGCAAAACTTCTTCATGTTGGAACCACCATTTATCCACTTAAGGGAAAGTATTCCATTAGGGTCTTGTTTGGGGAGCCTGTTGTTGTTTCTTGTGGGTTGTTTAGTCTTTCATTGTAAGCTGCCCTGAGCCTTCTTGGGAAGGGTGGCATATAAATCTAATAAATAAATAAATAAATAAATAAAATTACCTCAAAACCAAGAGTATAAATCTGGAAAATCTATAGAAGTTAAATATAAAATAAATCCAAACAGCAAATTAAGGAAACACGACCAAGGTGCTCAAATGCATAAAGCTACTAACCCCAGATTAAAGTTATTTTTATAGAGATTAGATTTTTTCCCCTCATAAATCTTCTTCACTGTGTCACTTTAAATTTTTATATTTAAACACAGACATGAAATACAGGACCTGTTGCTAGTGATTTTGCCTATTTTTTTTATTGTTGCAATTTTTAATTTCTCTCATTTTATTCTTGCCACTTTCAGTGCTCCATTTCCTCTTCCTACAATGTTTCTATTACTTAACAGCTTTTGAGAGCTATCAAATAGACAAGAAAAATGTCAACTTGAGTAGGAGCATAGAAGTTTACCCTTTTTACTGGATTCCCAGCAGACTACTGTTGATCATATAATTCTATGTTAAACATTTAGTTATCAAAAAAATGTTTGATCACAAGACACATTGTAGCTCTCATGACTGCTTCTAAATGCCTTCCACTGAATTGCATGAAAAACAACTAAAGCCTCCATGCCATGGCCAAGAACCTCTTTCTGCATATATTATTCAATTTTGAATCTGGTTTCTGTATAAATAACACAGCAACAAAGGAAATGGGAGAAAAAATGTTTTACACTTGTTCGTCACTTTCTTGCTTCTATAGGTTTACCCAGTACAAATTGGTTTTACCAAAGCCACATATGGTACACAGAGCTTGACCTAAATTTAATCACCATGCACCTACTAGCAAGAGTCAATAGAGAGACATGACCATCAGTCTCCTCTAATATGGCGCAGGGGAAACACCTAGACAATGCATTTATTCATCCACAACCCTTCTTGATGTGATTTGCACAAAGCTGATGCCTCTGGAGCCTATTCAGGATCTCCCTCTTTCATGTTTTACTTAGATATCAGTAAGGTCTTTGATTCCGTCTCCCATGGAATTCTTTCAGTTAAACCGGAGAGTACTGGCCTAGACCAGCCTACAGTGAGGTGGGTGGATAACCGGCTTAGAGGCTGATCCTAGAGTGTTGCAACTGATGGGACAGTCCTCCTCATCCCAGAGGACCGTCTCCACTGGTGTCCCACAGGGATTGCTGCTTGGACCTGTGCTTTTTAACGTATTTATTAATGATTTGGATGAGGGGGTGGAATGCTCTATGATTAAGTTTGCGGACGATACCTAGTTGTGGGGAAATGCAGGCAAACCAGAGGATAGGGTAAAGATCCAGGACCTTGTCAGACTGGTTCTAAGAGCTGAACGGAATCAGATGAGGTTCAACAGGGAAAACCTTCACCACAACTATAGGATAGGTGGTAGTCCACTGGCTAGCACAGCATCTGAGCAGGACCTCGGGGTCACAATCGACCAGAAGAAGAATGAGCCAACAGTGCGAGGAAACTGCCAGCAAGGCAAACAGAACTATGGCGTGTATCAGCCGATGTGTTGCCAACAGATCCAGGGAGGTGCTTCTACCTCTCTACTCAGAGTTAGAGTGGCCACAACTGGAGTATTGTGCCCAATTTTGGGCTCCGTACTTCAAGAAGGATGCGGATCAACCCGAGAGGATGCAGAGAAAGGCCACCCACATGATTACAGGCCTGGAGGATAGGCCCCACGAGGAGAGACTCCGGGAACTAGGCTTGTTCCAGTCTGGGTAAGAGGAGGCTATGAGGTGACTTGATAGCCGCCTACAAGTATGTCCGGGGTGGGGGGAGAACGACACCAAGATCTGGGGGAGCAATTCTTCAGGAAGGCCCAATGGTTGCAAACTAATAGAGGGAAGATTTAGGCTGGGCATAAGGAAGAACTTCTTCTCCGCAAGGGTAATTAGAACCCGGAACACACTTCCAGCAAAGGTGGTGTAGTCACCATCCTTGGAGGTGTTCAAGAGGAAGCTGGATAAGCACCTCATTGAGCTAGTTTGAGCTCATTAACCTCCTGCCTATGGCAGGGGACTGGACTTGATCCTACAGGTCCCTTCCAGTCCATGACTCTATGACTATGTTTGTCAGCCTCATTCTTAATTTCAAAATATTTTTTCCATTGCTTCCTGACTATTATGAGATGGCAACTTGGGCACTACTAGAGAGGTCCACAGTGGGGGGACAGATTCTTCTACCATATCTCCAACAAATGGCTACAAGGTTGCAGCAATTGGTCGTCCTTTTCCAGCTCCCTTCTGAGAGGTATAATCAAGGGAGTAGCAGGCTCAACATCTGTATGCAGCCTAGCTACCACTGGAGGACAACAGACCTTCACACTTGGAGTACTGTGGGTAACAAAAATTAAAACTGCTCACATCTTCCCTGTATTAGAACTTTAGAGCTGCTCTTCAGTGGGAAAGTTTATGAACTTCAATCCAAATTTCACTGTTTAAAGAAGAGATGTGGAACTAAACCAATGAAAACATCTCAATTTCACTCTGTAGCTTCCCTTCCACATACGTGCCAGAGAAAGAATCTAAGCCTTTATCTTATGTTCATTATCATGGTACAAATGGTTAGCTCTGTCTACCATTAAAAAGTAACTTCATTTTCAAAGAACTGCTGATATACAGTTGTTAAATTTAGCAAGGCAGACTTAATCGAGGCATCTTAACAAGAGATTAGTTGCTTCTGGAACAGTATGGCTGAACAAGAGGCCAAAACTGGGAAGAATCTCAGTCTCCAAATTAAAAAAAAAAAAAGATAAATTAGTGATATTACTAAAAAAAAAGCACTTACAAGAAATGCTGCGTGTAAGACCGAAAGGAGGTTATATATGTGAATTAAGACTAAGTGAACAAAGGAACTCAAATGAGCATCTTTCCTGAAAGACGCTTCAGAAATGTTAAAAAAAAGATTCCCTATTTGCAAAGAAATACAAGGAAATGGTGTTACTAATTCTAACCCAAAACACTTGCACACCAGAGAAGGCAAAAGATTGAACAGGAGCCCCCCCATCAAAAAAGGGTAGATAGACCTGAAAATGCACACAGACCCTTTAGGTTTACTTTTCTTTTTAAATTAATAAAATGGTTTTAAACTGTGGTGATATACTGGACAAAAAGGACAGGCTGTCCAAACAATTGCAAGGGAGGTATTGTATAAATAGAATCTACTGGAAACTCAAGATATTGTTCCACTGAAAATTGTTGTGGATTTCCATTTTAACGGTAAAGGGACTACGTTCAAGTTCTATTACATAAAGTATGATAGATGAAACAGTCCTTTTCCTTGTCAGAAAAAATACTTAAATTATTTTATAGAAGAACCTTCAGTAAAACCAATGTATTCTTGCAAAGTTTAAATTCTGATGAATATGCATTTTTGGTTAAAAACAAAACAAACCTATTCCACACCAGAACTTTAACCACTATAATGTATTTATGTTAATAAATGTTTAATAGAAACACCTCTACATAATTAAAAAAAACATGGGTTTTTTTTTCATGCATGGTCAATATAAATTACTAAGACTTTATTTCAGGTAAATGAATTTAAAATGCAAAATGAAACCACAGTTCCAATACTGCAGTATCTTATCATGGATTGGAACTTGTGTAGCAATACACATCTTTAAACCTCAGTTGAGAATATCAATATTTTTAAAGTCCAAATATTAGAAACAATATAATTATTAAGCCAGTATGACTCAAAACAACTGGCATACACAAATAACACTAAAAATCAAGTTTCCAACAGTTGTAAATTAATTATACTGTTCTGTGTCTACCCTGCAAAATGTATGTTATAATTTCCCAGTCAATATCTAACGCATCATTTATAAAGCGATGGGGATTAAAAAAACCCCAAATCCTATCAAACCAATGACTGTATACTCTCCTGTGCAATATCCAGCTAGTACAAGTATTTTAATATATTTTTTCCTCCATACTGTGAAGTGTTTTGTGAAGAAGTAAGAGCATTTCTATCAATTAAAAATTAAAGAAAGAAAATGATAAACCCGTATTTTTATAGGATTCTCCTTGTAGAATTCTTTAAATTAGAATGATACCATGTTTTAAAACTTGAACGCATATTAAAATAATCCAAGTTTCATAGCATTTCTCTAAAAAAATTCTCAATTAAAAATGAATAGTCTAAAGCAAATAAAGAAGTGCAGTCGATAAGATGTATAGGCACCCCCCACTTCGCACTCTTAATTGGTTCCCGAAAAACAGAGCGTTAAGCCAAACTGAGTGTTAAGCAAAACCAACTTTCACTTTATCATTTTTTAAAGCCACCAAAATCACTCTTAGCACCTGTCTGTGAGCGTTATAACGAAACTTGCTGAGCGCTAAGTGGAATTGGGTATCAATGTAAAATAAGCATTATAGTGAAATAGCAGTAAGTGAAACAGCATTAAGTGGGGGTTGCCTGTACAAGAATATCAAGATATACAAGAATATACAAGATGTAGAACACAGTAAGTGTGCACAACCATATATTCATTATATTAATAGATTTAACATAACAGGAAATGGATTTTTAAAAATCCATTTACCACTTTCAAAACTCTTATTTTAAATCAGGAGATTTCATAAAATAATCTTGGGTTAAAGTACAGTATTAAACAAGGATTATTTAATTTTGATTACTTACTTAGGAGTAGAAGGACCTCTTGGCCATGTTCCATCTTCATTTTTTTGTTCTATCACCAGTATCTATCGAAAAGAAAAAAATACTGTAACAAAACACATCAGCAGAATGCCACTTGCTCAGATGACTCAACAGAAACCCCTTTTAATGGGCTTGTGGACAGGTGACTTATAGGGGCAGAGAAGTAAGGTTATTTTAGGTTTTCAGATATCCCACTCTATCCAAACAGCTCAGAGCAAAAATTTGAAGTACTTACTCAAATTTAAGATGACCCTGAATAAGAACCCCCCACCCCCTATTAATTAGATCCTATACAAGGAAAATTTAAGAATTTGTTACAATTTTCCATGTATAAAATCCAATTATCTAATTATTGTAGGGCTGCCTTGAATTCACACCCTCCCCTCCCCCCCAATACTACAGAGGGGCAAACAGATAGCATGGGGAAGTCAAGCAACTTGCCCCTTGCTTGTGCCTACCTCCTGCCACGTCTGCTCTCCACCTTGCAAACTCGGGCCCATTCACCCAGCCTCTGCTTCCTCCTCCTCCTGCCCCGCAGCCTCTGCTTCCCCCTTCTGCTGTGGCTATGGCCCCGACTCTGGGTAGGGGCTGGAGCCTGAGCTGCAGCAGCCACCTGTCCTGCACTCCTCCCCACAAGCGATTCTAAGATGGAGTCCCCCACCCCATATTAAACTAGGAAAAAAAACCTTGTCTTAGAATCAAGTAAATACAAGTAAAAAGACAAAAAATTACATTCTACTATTATGAATTAGGTTAGGACGGCATTCTGGGACTCAAGAATTTCAGGACTGGTTTCTTCTGATACGTTTGTTTGACACTGATTAAGGCTATGTACAGACATTCCCAAGATGCTGTCTACCATCATGAGGCTTAAGCTGCATGATTGTACATCAAATGCCAGCTGTACAGACATTCACTGGTGCCAGGAGCCTGACCTAAGTAAGGTGGGGTAGGGTAGATGAGGTTGGGGAGGATAGTGGGTTCTGCAGGGGTTGGTGGGGTCAATCAGGAGCTAACAGGTCCATGGGGGTTAGTGAGGTTCAGGGGAGTTTGGCAAGATGGGAGCAGGTTAGCAGGTGTGCAGGGGATGGGGGAAGGCTGGTGAGATCAGGTAGGAAGGGGGAGGTGTCTGTCAGGGAATAAAGGGCTTGAAGGGCTAAAGGTAGCATTGGCAAGGCAGAAGGAAAAGCACCACCCGAGGGCTGAGGTGAGCAGTTTGGCTTTCCCAGGTTCAGGGCTGTGCTGAGAATGTGTGCACATATTCATGAGACTCAGTCTGTAATCACATGGATTACTTTAAGCTGAATGGTCCTGTGTGTACATATATTCACCAGTGCTAGAAGTAGGGCTGGGATCTTGATCTAAGGAAGTTGGGGTGAGTAGAGGCGGTTAGTGGGTCTGGAAGGTATAGGGAAGGGGGAAGGTGTCCTAGGTGAACTAGAGGTAGATGGTTCTAGCCACTTTTTGCTCAGTTTAACCTGCCCAAGCATCTATAGTGGGCTGTACTATTCAGCCTAGTTAGATCAATCTAAGTTTAAGATCCATATGCGAGTGAACTACATTACATCTGGTGGCCATTTTTTGCCCTAGCCTCCCAAACTTGTTCAGCACTTAAGTCTAACCCTAGTTAGAAGATCTAAATGTAATGTCTGTACATATTCTGAGTCTCTTAGGCTGTCTACACTGCTAGTTCCCACACTGATACTGTAAACTCCTTCACTGACTTCCAGGATAGCCCAAGTCTAGACCTAACTTGAAGAAAGGGAAAGACAAAGTAAACTACATTTAAATAGAAAAGGATCTACTAGGTATAGGAAAATGTAAGCAATTCAAGTTATTATTTTTAAAGACTAATTTTAAGTAAACAAAAATATATTGCATAATACCTGGCCCTGGTATAAACCAGCATCCTGTATGGTACTATCTGGTTTATTCAATGGTTCAAATGTATTACTCATGTATTTGTTCCACAATCTGGTCTCTTTTTCACTTGGAATATTGAAGATTTTTCTTATTTCTTTTTCAATTGTATCTGGATTGAAAGAAGAAAGCATAAAAATTAAATATTCCATGACAAAAGTCCCACATCAATACCATTTAAATCATTCTCAAAATACTAATGATACAGTGATAATAGCTGCATAGATTGTGTCAGTTTGGGCCAACCTTTTTGGCAGGTGTGCCATAAGTTAAGCCTACTGCCTTCCAATGCTTTTACCATGCCCAATCTGTTCCATCCCAGGATCCTGCCAAATGGAGCCACTACAGTCTTCCCAGACTTTTAGTACAGTACCAGGAAAGAACCTGAAATGAGCTAAAAACAACGGAGACAGTGGCAGCCACACAATCTACTCTGCACATTTAAGCATAACTTCCCCAGAAGACAGTACAGTCAGCCTAGAAAGACAACAGGAAGAATGGCTGCAAGGTCAGAGGCAGGAAAGACTGAGTTATTCACCTCAACCTGAATCAAATCAATCCTTTTAAATTCTAGTGGCCAATACATTTTAGTAAATTTGCTATATTGTCCTATCATACACCCCTTTCCCCACAAAATATACATACAAGTGTGATCCAATAATGTACCTACGCTTAATACAGTTTTATTAAATAATCACTTATTAATCCAATATTCATTCTGCTACCTGAAATAGTGACATTTCTGAGGTTAAGAAAATATAAATTATAAATATAAATATAAACTGCTATACATACTTTTAAATACAATCATTATTTCTGAACCCTTTGTTGACTGTTTTTTTCCCTCTAAAATGAAGTTAGGAACACCAGTTAAATTTATATGGATGTGTGTGCTTAAGTGACATGTTTATAAGGATTCCCAATAGTACTAACTGCTAAGAGCTTATCATTAGAACAAAGGAAGATTAGATTAAAAGATCAGGGCGCAGAAAATATAAGTTTAGCCATCACAGGAAGTACTGTAACAAAAAATAATTTGCCTCGGATATTGTTCCTGTTTGCTTCATCTCTGCAATATACATTTAAAATACATTTTAAAAACTTTTCCTCTTGTTTAGTTCTTTGTAGGTACGTCTTTCCCT